TTTTTTGAAATGAGAAAAGAAAAAATCAAAAGTGACAAACACTTTATTGAAAACACTAGCAGGTGAGCTCGGCGTTGTTCGGGTAAAAATAAAAACAAACATTATTAGATTCTTTCGTACATCTGACTCTTCTATTATATTACATTATAGTATTTGATTTATATAAGAAACATTAAAATGAAAAAGTATATAAAGAGTTTGGTCATTTTAACGTACCATTGTCGATACTCGGATGGTAGGAAATGACATAATTTCATTGGTCAAGTAGTCAGCATTTTTTTATATGTTACCTTCAACAAATTGTTCTATTCAGAGCCGAATATAAAATGGTAATCTGCCTTAATCAAATGGTAATCTTGATGAATTTAGACATCTAACGAGTAATTCTCGTTCAATCTCTCACGACAAACTACAAGTTGGACGATGGCCATTTCCTGCTTGTTCCACTGACAATCTGGAATCTCGAGACCACCCGTGGCGGTAACCTGTTCGGACCACTGGTGGTTAGGTTTTACATGTGCAAAAACAACCGACCTCTTTAAGAAGGAAAAACCGACCGAATTGACGGTTTGTGCAGTGTCTTTCGAAAAGGGTTGACTTGAAGCATCCGAGTAGGTGCTGATCCACACGAAGGCTGGTGGTGCTAAATTCTCGGGTGGCATTTCTTCGACGGCTAATGGTCTCTTTAACTGCGTTGGAAGAATATTTTGGCTGGAGATTTGTTTTCTGGTAGAGCCAAATTTCCAGTTATTCGATAAGTCTCCAAAAATATGTCCACAACGTGTTTTTCTCTCCTTTTAACTTGAGGAGTGTTCGCTCCGGCGTGTCGACGAATCGTTTCGCATGTTCATTGGATTGCGGATGATAAGGTGGCGAAAAAATGTGCTTGAATCCGTGTTGGTCGTATGATCTTTTGAATTCGTACGAACTGATTTGCATTCCATTATCACTGACAAGAACTTCTGGCAGTCTGTGAAGAATAAAGAGTTTCTGCAGCATGCTGATCGTTTACAGAAAAGTAGATTTGTCTATGATGATGATTTCTGAATACTTGGAATAGGCATACATCACGAAAAAGTTGGCCTTGGTACGGTCTTGCCTAGTCGATGTGGACACGCTGCCACGAGGTAGCAGGTCTTGGCGAAGAGAATGGTTCTGAAGTTACCGGTTGTTTGGCTGCTGCGATACATGGAGACCATTGTCGCGCGGTTGACTGGGTGTCGAGATCAGTGTTTGGCTAATAAACGTAGTTGCGAGGTAGAGATTTCATGCACCAGTTGCTGGGGTGTTACGATGTATAAGTACATTGTAATATTGTTGGGATGATAATGCGTTCTTTGTAGAGGAGACATCACTTTTTGAAGCTGAGTCCATTGCATCGATGGTAGAATTGCTGAATTTGAGCCCATTCGGAAGACTCTCGAAGCTTGTCCACGTTTGACCACTTTGAAGTGATATACTGTCCGATTGTTTGAAGGAGTTGATCCTTTTTTGATTGATCGCACAATTTGTCGAAGGTTACTAGAAGTTGAGATGAAATGACTGTAAGGCCCTGTAAGGCTGGATAACGGTTGCCACGACCGTTTTTTCATGTCTTAAAAGCTCATAACGTTTTATTTATAATCGACCGTTTTCTTATTTGACTGTATATTTAGACGTGGATTATTGGCAATCATCATCACATTCACCTTGATATGTGTAAGGCATCACTTTTATGTATAACAGCCAGTTTGTTAAAGTAAATAAATGCAGAATTTATATCTTAAAACGTCTTCTACAGCATCACCTATCAACAAGAATTACAAGTTTTGGAGTTTTCTCAAAAATCTCAAAAATCTTTAATTACTGTTTGAACACTTCAAAAAATTAAAATTTAATTTTTTGTGAAAAATATTATTTTATTATTTTTATAAATACTAGAGAGATGACATGAAGAAAATCGAGACGATGTTTATCGATGTAATTAGCCTGTTTGAGCAGGCTGGAGTGAGGGAGACGTGTTTCAAACATAACCTCCGTGAGTCGCCTGACACTACTAAAAACATATATTTGAAACAGCTACATAAAAGTTGAAAATTTCGGATGATATGAGAGGTAAAAGTTGAACCAATCCAATCCGGAGCAGGGTCAGTAGCTCGCATTCAAATCCGTTACGGAGGTGATTCTCGGTTCCCACTATGGTGACCTTCTCTGGAAAAAACGAACCACAGGAAGAAAGACAAAATTGCTTTGTCTCCTCGAACCGTTAGGCCTACATGTCATTAGTGTACAGTGCATAGTTTTGACATATTTTCGGATGATTCCTAAAATATATCAAAAATTGCTAAATTCCTTTTCTGCTACTGTCCCAATTTTGCATTTAAGTTAAGTATTAGTTTATTTGTTTTGTTTTTGTTCTTTGATATTTGGCCAAAAAAGTGAATGCTCCAATAAACAGGTGGCCCAATAAACGAAATCGACTGTATTATAGTACAAAAATGAGATGAAAAAGTTTATACTTTTAAAAAAATTGACAAAGTGCACATTTTTTCTTAAGCATCCCGTTATTAGAGACAGGCAATTAAAGAGCTAGGTAACGTGGCGCCATCTAGTGAGGACGAGGGACGTAAATCTGGTTCCTTTTTCTTAGAACTCGGATAAGTTTTCCGATATTTGACGGAAATTCACCACACTCTGGAAAAATATAAAGTAACTGCATGGTTTTTTATTCCAAAAAACTGGGTCCAAAAATGTCATAATACTTTTTTGTTATTATGCATCAAAGAAGCGATAGTCGACATATTAATTTTTTTAATATATTTTTTTCCAGAGTTAATTGTATTTCTCAAAAAGTAGTTTATGCACATGTCACGGTTCTACTGAGCATTTTAACATTCAAATCATCAAAATCTAACGTGGGAATGTTTTTTAAAAATCTACAAATCAGACAAATAATACAAATGTTATTCTACAAGCCTGGGTTATGCCCAGTCAATAATATTTAAAAATTAACTAATTTATTTACAGTTTTCAAGTAGTTTTTGATCTTTCTTATCGGTCTTTATGAAACTTAAAGGTTTGTAGAAGAGAAAAACCAATTGCTTAAATTTAACGGAATTGTATTTATGTTGCAAAACTTTTTACAATAAATCATTTATTAAAATATATAATTAAATACATTATTAAATTTATAATACTGCTTGGTAATATTATAAAAACATTATACATTATTTAAAAGTGACTCTATGCAAAATTCTTGCTTTAAAATCATAAATCTTCTTATGGTTAAGTATGAATATTTAAAAAATAATAACTCACTGTTTCTTCACAATTTTTCGAATAGAACAAGTAATTTATCGTTCTGGTTTGTAATTTTTTATTATTGTAATTTTGTAATTTCATCATTACCAGAGGGATGTTTATAGAGCACTTGCATGAAAGTCATCTCACGTGAGCTAATCCTTATCACTCCGCCTTTTGCGCCATATTTGTGCCTTAGTGTCGGTGCAGGCGTTTATAGTTTGGCTTACGTCTGAAGGTTTATCACGTGTATAAGGTGGAAAAACATGTATTTTTAAAACCCTGAATTGGTATCCCAAATTTTACAAACGTAACTGGTATCGTGGGGGCTGTGCGACCCCCAAGCAAAATTTGCCTCTAGAGAGCAAGTTTGAACAACGTGACAGTTTAAAAGTGCATAAATGCTAAATAAAACACTCGTTTAGTATAAATAACTCTTATTTATTCATTTACTGTTTTTTGGTTAATTATTAGAAGAGATCACAAAAATGTTACAACTTTTGGTGTTTGCTTTTTTCAACAATACAAAAATCTACCCTAAGTTTTGAACAAATATATATTTTTTTGTTATTCTTAAAAAAATAATCTTACAAAAACGTATCTATTATAGCCTCTAACTATCATTTGTTTAAAAACCACAGGTAATATAATCACTTCTACTTTTAAGACTCAGAAACTTTTAACGAATTACGTTGTTCAGTCTTTACATAGTATTTTTGTGGAACTATGCACTTTGCAAATGTACTATTAGCAGTTCAAATGATTTTTTGGTAGTCATTTGAATTTTTGATGTAAGGTTGCGATATCTTTGCAAAAATGGAAAAAATCATAAAAAGACATATCCAGAAAAAAACTAACGTAACTGGTATCATGGTGCCGCGCNGCAAAATATGACACGTGACCACACACTATCTCTCCATTTCCTTAACTTTTCATAACCAAAATCTCATAGCATCAATGCCCCTTATATACAGGCTACCGTGCTCAATTTGATTTCGCTATCTTCACAATTTTACTATAAATATGTATTTTGAAATGTAATATAAAGAACAGCTGGCGATTTCACCCCGATTTATTGACTACAAATCCGAGCCACCATATCAGGGCCCTGGAAACCTACCTACGTTACACCGTACGATTGGAATAACCGGCAGAGGTGGCTTTATCGGGAAAACAAAGCTTTGTAAAAATTCAATAAAAGGAGTTTTTTTATAGCCTGAATTGGCTGTGAGGTAGTCTACCGGAAGTGTTTTTCGGATTGAAGAGACGTTACTTAATTAATCAACATATATAACAGCTGCCGTTAGAAAATTCAAAAGTTATATGTACTGTACAGTTGACCCCTCTATAACACGGTAGATAATTCCGTGTTATATGAATTCTATGTTGTAAGAGTTACTTACATTTTACAAATACGTGAGCCGGGCTGTGAACGGCTCACGTATTTGTAAAACCTAAACGACTCGTACAACGTGGAATTCATATAACACGTAATTATATGCAGTGTTATAGGGGGGTCTACTGTATTGTGTTATTGTTATCGGAGTTCATATTATCGTGATACATTATACATTGAAAATCCACTTCTGGGTCATCATCTTTATGGTGACCAACGTTTTTACAATGAAAAGGAGGACACAAATAAATTGAAGAAAAAATACCATAAATAAAAGAAACATTTATTCATTGTAATAATAATACACAAACAATAATATCAAGTTTTAGAATGTCGATGTAATTTCTAAGCTTTAACCGTAATTTTTCTCGCATACAGATAGAGGTTTATTGGAAATTAAATTTACAGAATGCAAGCTTTTACCAGATTAGTGCCATTTTGTTACGTTAGAACATTTACTTTCTTGTTTCGAGATACCTCTAAGTTTCATAAATGCCGAAAAAAATGAATTCAAATTACTTGCAACCTGAAAAACACAGAATTAATGTATAATAAAAGCTATAAAATATTTCTATTTTCAAAAATACAAACTTTGAAAGGAATTCGCTTTGTCACAGGATAAATTCCTCCAATAGTCAGACACAAAGAAACTTTCCCAAATCTTTTCATAAAATTTAGAATCTGCAGAAAAAACAAACAACACAGAGCTTTATTAATGTTATTAATTATTAATTTCAATCTTCTATAATCGAAAGTAGAAAATACTTGCTTTCAATTTTTCTTCCATACAGAAATTGCAGATAGCAAATTGTCGGATATCCTGAAAGGCATTTCGCATCTGTAAAGTAAAACAATTTAAAGTCGACAATCGGTTATGTCAATAGTTTATAAGTAATGAATAATTACATTGAATGCAAAGGTGCAGAATAATAAGGAAGTAATGATAGAGACGAAAACGAATAAGACGAGTGCTGCCAGCAATGCGAAACGAAATGTATCGTTTACATCGAGATATAAGAATGAATAGTAAATAAAACTTGTGGTGAAAATGATGGCAACATAAATACTCATTAAAAGAAAACTGAATCTGGTGTTTAATTGATCGACGATTACACAGAGTTCTTCGTGACGAATCATCAAACATTGCAACTTCGAACATACATTTCGATCATTTCTTCTTATTACAGAAAATTCTTCCAAGAGTTGTTTGAATTCCATTTCAATTAGAGTTAGCACGAATGCAACCATTACTAAACCGTAACCAATTAAGCCAGCGAATAAAGCGAAGTCTAACCCAAATTCAACAGTACAAAATAATGCTTCGCCCTGATATTTTTCTGCTTGTTTTACAGCAGGAAAGAAAACGGTAATATTTATAATTTGAAAGAAAACGATTGCAAAAATTATAACAGAAGAAGCGAAAAGGTTAAAGTTATTGATTATGGCATTTGATTCGTTTACTTTTTTTACGATGTATTCGTTTCTTAACATTGTTACAAGACTGACTTTTCTGCGTTTTAAGAAACTGAAAATAAAAACGCAAAAACATTGTAAACATATTACTGCCATTTTGATTATCACGGTATTGTTTTTTACTATACTAAACCATCCCGTGCAAATTGCATTGTTATTCCATTGTGGTATAATTTGTCCTAATAGAATTACAATATGATTCCAGTAAATGGCCTCAATAATTTGAATGTAGCAATGTTTGAGTTTACTATTGAAGTAATTACTAACTTGGCAATTACAAGTTAAGAATGGTTCTAAACCATAGATTAGAGCTGTAGTCCAAAGAGGTCTCAGCAGACAACTCATGCATATTTCATCCATTACGATGCTGCGAACCAATGCATTATATCTTGGTTGAATAGGGTAAGAATAAATGACATTGCATTGTTGCATTTGATGTACGATGCTTATTTGTTTGTTTAAGTTATGGCAACGCAACACTTCGACAATCTGTCTAGGGGGATGTTATTCGGGATGTCTCTTTTTAGGGGAAACTGGCCACTATTTAGGCGTACAGACGTGGAGAAAATCCGCAAGACTTCACGTGGCCAGCCCGTTCGAGCGAGGTGCGAACCCACCACTGAACTCCCAGTGTTCAGGGTACAAATACCGCTTGCCCATTGGTGGGTTCGGATGTATGATGCAATTTCCTATAGAAAATCACTTGACATTAGCCTATAGCTTGTAAGATATAATTGGTTTGCGTAATTTTATGACACGAAACACGCGCAAATTTATTGATCCCTTTTCCATTATCTTCGTTTCGTGTATTCAGCGATTAATTTTCCATTAGGTTACGCTAATTTATTATTTTAATCCCATTCTAGAATTATTGAAATTTATAAAATCACGGATCTACCTCACATAAATTCTGCAAGATATTTATAGATACTGCAAGATATGTTTAGATAATTTATAACATTTATGATAATTTGCAGATTTTTTACATATTTTGTTGGTACATTACTGTAGCATTGAGNTCCATTTGTTCGGTTCTATCGGATAATCAATCTATCATTTTCTGTATTAACATGTAATCAGTTAGTTAATCATCCATTGGCCCAATTGGTCTAACTGGCTCCCAATTTCCTGTCATTTTGCAACACATGATTAGTTATTTATTTCCTTTATATCCTTTTAAAAAGCACGTTACAGAAAGTAGAAGAAAATTGATTATTAATTTATTGTAATATCGAATAATAATAATGATTTTATCAACAGATAGTAATAAAATAAATATGTAAATGAAATTTCACTTTATTGTATAAGATATATTTATCCTAAAATGATAGAGGCATCACTTCTTTAGCAGTTAAATTGCAATTAATATGCAAAATAACACATTGTATTGTATAAAATATAAAACAACAGTAAATCAGGGGTGAATTTCTACAAAGTATAGTTCTGGAATACGTGATAAATTGAAGAAGATTTTGTTATGAGAAGAGGACTCCTTCACTTTTTTGTGGCAATGACAACGAAGAATATGGAACAAAATACCATTTAAAAGACTCCTTCACTGAATTCCCATAAAAATAATAATTTTCAGGATACAGCAATTTTACAATGAGTCTGAGGCATCTCATCTAGCCATAAATGTGTCAAAATCAAAAGTATACAGAGTTGTAATCATCTACAAAATAAGAAAATGAAACAAATTCTGCTGTAAATGAATCACAAAGATAAACCTCTGGCATCTGAAGAATTATCAATAGTAATGAGATCCTCCTATTAAAACAGTTGTAGACTCCTGATATAGGATAATCACAAGTATTAGATATGAGATATTTACTTAAAGCCATTTACAGAAAAATTGGAGAGAAGTTTTTCTAATTTCGACAGGATAATGTAATTCCTTCTTAATGTAAAATTAACTTGGGACTGATTTTTGTCAAATGGTGTGCATGCTATTGACTGGTTGCATTTTCTTGTTATTTTATTTCTGTAGAAAATATGTTTGATATCTTAGCAAGTAAAGTAAAATATATAGGAATGGAAAGCAATGTACACTAACGGATCATTAAAAAAAAAACTGAAGCTTGGCACGAAATCATGAATGATGAGGGGAGAAAAAATCCTATTATGAATATTATTACCCAGAAAGTACGTAGTTCCATCCTGGTAAGTGCTACAGCGCCGAACGTTTGGCATTAGCTGCGAGTCGCGACGTAATGAGATTACATAAAATGGCAGCTGCGCACGATGCTTAGATTTTTAGATATTCGTAAAAATATGACGCGCGAGGGCCGCGCGGCCTCGAGAAAACCAGTTAAGGGTCAACAGGTTATTTAAACACTCTTATTAGAAATGATGCCGACTAATACAAAAAGTAAAATTGTTGTTGTTCCGTACGAAGATTACTTGAATTCGTTCTTAGAGGATCGTACTTCATGGCCAAACAGAAGATGATGACACCTTGTCTTAACAACCCAATTTTTAACTGTTAGTGTTGCCAGGCTTTAAGAAAAAATGGGGCCTACCAGTAGCCAAGTCTTCATATCCTGAACACCAGGAGTTCGGTTGTGGGTTCACGCTTCGCTCGGACAGGCTGGCCACGTGGAGTTTTTCGGGTTTTTTCCACATCTGTAACGCCTAAATAGGGGCCAGTTTCTCTTAAAAAGACCTCCCAAAAGGAAACCCCTAGGCCGATCGCCCAAGTGTTGCGTTGAAATAACTTAACAAACATTAAGAAAAAATTTTGCCAATAAAGTACACACACACAAACACACATATATATATATATATATACAAATTATATATATGGGTCCTTTGTTTGGAACTGGAGAAAACAACAGATAGATGCAAAAAAACCATTGATACTGGAACGATGGATTGCGAATCACCGTATTTAGCCAGCATTTTTGCTGATCAGCAATATATGAAATCTAAGAAGCCGTTTCAACTCAAGAAGATATTCTTTGTTTCTCTGCATGATCAGCATCACGTGTTTATTAGTGTTTTGCCATTCTTTTTGAGAATCGTCGAACACAACAGTGTCCTGGCATCAATCTGTAACTTCTTCGCTATTAGCATATATATGTTGAATATTTTCATGTAATAATAATGAAATCACAAGGCCACAACTTTAACGAAGACTATTTATGTCATTATTTTTTTAACTTTCATTTATATTCTAGCATCACATTTAACGTGTTCTTATTTATTACAGAAAATGTAGAAAATAATTTCAACGAATTCATTTTTTATGCATCTATGTATATTCANCAAGTGACAGGATGGAACATTATGATTATTTCAAAATATGTGAAAAATATTACATGGAAGTTAATAAATTATGCTGTAAATCTTCTAGTAGTATAAGAGATTTCAACTACAATTGCTTTGATAGTGTGACTTGTCGTAGTGATGATGTTTTATGTTAGTATATGTAATTTCTGTGGTATATGGAAAATCTCTGACAGAAGCTGAGATATTATGTTGTATAGACTGAGAAAATATATGAGGGAACGTAAAGGTAGTAAAATTATCATGTAAACCAGTTAAGCTTTAAACCATTACCTATACGAAATTAAGTTTTATTGCCCGGATGCCTTTAAAAACTTTTAAACAGCTGCAGAATTCTGAATATATTATCATGTACAGTATGTTCAGAACCCCTCCTTCTAACCCAATCAGAACGTCTATAACATGCTGTATCGGTAAAATAAAATGTCGGCATGAGGCTGTAATGGCGCAGTGTTGTGCGTGGCATTGAATAGTAGTGTTTGTTTCTCTTAATTTTCTATATCTCCATAAAATATAAGAAAAAATAAACAGCACGGATCCATTAAAAGGTAGTGGGTACACGGAAAAACAGGTTTGACATAGAAATACCGGCAATGTTCACTTGACAAGACATTATATGGAAAACACAATATACTGTGCTGCGGACTTATAGACAAGTTCAAGTTGCGTTAATTCGAACATTTATTAAATATCCATATTAATTATTGTGATGTTGCCACGATGCTGAGCTGCAATTTTCAATCATATTTTAGGTTTAAAAATCATATGACTTCCGACTCATACCGGAAGTTCAGATACAGTTAATTAGGGTCTCATTCTCCTATCCTTTCCACGCCTGGTCTTGAATTAGACCTATCTAACTCCGTTCTCGAGATTAACGAAGGACAGACAAACAAATGTGTGCACGGAAAGTTGGACAGACAGTGGACAGTAGGAACGTAAAGGTCTGCGATTTAGAAATTTCAGCCACATTACTGGTCATTTGTTCTTCTTTATTAATATTTTTGTCTGATAATCTACACCAACTCGTATCGTTTAAAATCATTTATTAAAAAAAATAATTTTTAATAATATATTTATTAAGGACCTCAATGCTACAGTAATGTACCAACAAAATATGTAGANTGAATATTATTATTACGGTATGAATCTTATTATGAAATACGATGGATTGCGAATCACTGTATTTAGCCACCATTTTTGCTGATCAGCAATATATGAAATCTAAGAAGCCGTTTCAACTCAAGAAGATATTCTTTGTTTCTCTGCATGATCAGCATCACGTGTTTATTAGTGTTTTGCCATTCTTTTTGAGAATCGTCGAACACAACAGTGTCCTGGCATCAATCTGTAACTTCTTCGCTATTAGCATATATATGTTGAATATTTTCATGTAATAATAATGAAATCACAAGGCCACAACTTTAACGAAGACTATTTATGTCATTATTTTTTTAACTTTCATTTATATTCTAGCATCACATTTAACGTGTTCTTATTTATTTCAGAAAATGTAGAAAATAATTTCAACGAATTCATTTTTTATGCATCTATGTATATTCACTTTATTGGGACCGGATTGATGAAATAAGGCATTGCAACAGGTGGTGCCTCTCGGAAGGACTTTCTATGAAAAAAATCGGCCCGTTTAAATGTTAGATACGTTGAGAAAAACCCTAAGAATTTATGGGAAACTGGTCCTTAAAGAGGTGTTAGACACTCGAAAAACACCTTGTATACTGACGTATTCAACACACTTGGGAAATGCCTTTCGGGAGATCTTTTTAAGGGTAACTGGCCCCTATTCGGACATTACAGACGTGGAGAAAACCCGGTAAACTCCACGTGTCCATCACATCCTGGCGAGGCGCGAACCCATGAAGAACTCCCAGAGTTCAGGGAACTGCTTGGCCACTGGTGGATTTTAAGAAGAGTTTGTAGAGCGAATACAATCCGAGATTCAAACCGTAAAAGATTGCAAATTGTTTACACCTTTAGTTGGCAATTCTGAAATTGTTTCTGCGGGATCTCAATTAAATTTCTATTAAATTCATTTTATATTTATAGCTTCAAAACCAATTTCAAAAGTTTGTTTACAAGTAACGAAGCCGCCACGTAGTGAAGAATCTCCATTATTCGGTTGTATTTCTTAAAAATAGATACAAATGTGTGTGATGATAGCGTAGAAGAAAGTAGCGATGATGAAGATGATGCAAAATTCAATAGATATTTCAAAAAGATGTAGGAAATGAATGAATATGAAGAATTAATTGATTCGGAATAAATTGAAATCACAATTGTTAGAGTAAATTTCGTTAAAGTTTTCTAATTTTTATTAACTATTAAATAAATTAATGTTTTATATATTAATAAATTGTAGTTAATAAGATTAATACTCCATTTGTTCGGTTCTATCGGATAATCAATCTATCATTTTCTGTATTAACATGTAATCAGTTAGTTAATCATCCATTGGCCCAATTGGTCTAACTGGCTCCCAATTTCCTGTCATTTTGCAACACATGATTAGTTATTTATTTCCTTTATATCCTTTTAAAAAGCACGTTACAGAAAGTAGAAGAAAATTGATTATTAATTTATTGTAATATCGAATAATAATAATGATTTTATCAACAGATAGTAATAAAATAAATATGTAAATGAAATTTCACTTTATTGTATAAGATATATTTATCCTAAAATGATAGAGGCATCACTTCTTTAGCAGTTAAATTGCAATTAATATGCAAAATAACACATTGTATTGTATAAAATATAAAACAACAGTAAATCAGGGGTGAATTTCTACAAAGTATAGTTCTGGAATACGTGATAAATTGAAGAAGATTTTGTTATGAGAAGAGGACTCCTTCACTTTTTTGTGGCAATGACAACGAAGAATATGGAACAAAATACCATTTAAAAGACTCCTTCACTGAATTCCCATAAAAATAATAATGTTCAGGATACAGCAATTTTACAATGAGTCTGAGGCATCTCATCTAGCCATAAATGTGTCAAAATCAAAAGTATACAGAGTTGTAATCATCTACAAAATAAGAAAATGAAACAAATTCTGCTGTAAATGAATCACAAAGATAAACCTCTGGCATCTGAAGAATTATCAATAGTAATGAGATCCTCCTATTAAAACAGTTGTAGACTCCTGATATAGGATAATCACAAGTATTAGATATGAGATATTTACTTAAAGCCATTTACAGAAAAATTGGAGAGAAGTTTTTCTAATTTCGACAGGATAATGTAATTCCTTCTTAATGTAAAATTAACTTGGGACTGATTTTTGTCAAATGGTGTGCATGCTATTGACTGGTTGCATTTTCTTGTTATTTTATTTCTGTAGAAAATATGTTTGATATCTTAGCAAGTAAAGTAAAATATATAGGAATGGAAAGCAATGTACACTAACGGATCATTAAAAAAAAAACTGAAGCTTGGCACGAAATCATGAATGATGAGGGGAGAAAAAATCCTATTATGAATATTATTATTACGGTATGAATCTTATTATGAAATATTATTACCATTGTTAACCATAATTAACTGTTACCATTGTTAACTTATAATTGCCAGAATAGTAATTATTTCAATATATTCAGCATAAAATTCAAACATTATTATATTCAAATACTGGGTTTGTTTATTAGAGTCATTTTGTTCTTCTATTATCGTGGATGACAACTGCAGGCTAGCCAGTGGCCAAGTGGTTCCATGAACAGAACACGGGAGTTCTTCATGGGTTGGCGCCTTGCCCACAGGCTGGCCACGTGGAATTTTTCGGGTTACCTCCACGTTTGTAACATCCGCTATAGGCCAGTTACCCTTAAGACCTCCCGGAAGGCATCCCCCTAGGCAGATTGCCCAAGTGTTACGTTGCAATAACATCGTTAAAAAAATAAAATAAAATAAATGTCTTTTAAACATTTATTCTTATTAATTTTTTTCCAAGATTATATTTTCGAAAATTTTAATCTTTCAGGAGTTTGATTTTTAAGGATTATAATTGGCACCGGTTTATAATTGTTTACATAATTTTCTAATATATAACACGAGTAAATTTATTGTTTATCCTAGCCTATTAAATTCGTTTCGTGTATCTAGCAATTAATTTTCCATTAGATTTTAGGCTTATATTAAGTAAGCAAACACTAATTCGTGCGAAAAATCTACTCGTATTTATGGTTTATTAATAATAATATTTAATAAATTTACGGACGTTATCTCAGACTAATTTATTTTGTAAACACATGGATGATAGAGGCAGTTAAGGCTTTATCTACTGCCTCGAAGAATTCAAAATACAATTTGGACCAGTTGCCAAGGAATTTTTTAGTGGTGGTGTATTGCGAATATGTCTGGCTTTGACTTTTACCATCCTGCCACTTGGGGGCATGAGAAAGAACCCATTTAGTGCCCTGGGCACTAAACGGGTTGTTTCTCATGCCCCCAACAAGTGACAGGATGGAACATTATGATTATTTCAATTTATGTGAAAAATATCTTATGAAAGTTAATAAATCATGCTGTAAATCTTCTAGTAGTATATGAGAAGAGATTTCAACTACAATTGTTTTGATAGTGTGACTTGTCGTAGTGATGATGTTTTATGTTAGTATATGTAATTTCTGTGGTATATGGAAAATCTCTGACAGAAGCTGAGGATGCCTTCTCAATCTATTATATTGTATAGATTGAGAAGGCATATGAGGAAAGATAAAGGCAGTAAAAATTTCATGTAAACCAGTTAACCATTACCGATATGAAATTAAGTTTAATGGCTCGGATGCCGTTAAAAACTTTTAAACAGCTGAAGAATTCTGAATATATTATCATGTATTGTGCAGTATGTTCAGAACTCTTTCCTTTTAATCTAAGTAAAACGTCTATAACATGCTGTATCGGTAAAAAAAATGTCGGCATGAGGCTGTTATGGCGCAGTGTTGTGCATGGCATTTAATAGTAGTGTTTGTTTATCTTAATTTTCTATATCCCCATAAAATATAAGAAAAAATAAACAGCACGTATCAACAAAAAGATGGTGGGTACACGGAAAAGCAAGTTTCACATAGAAGTACCGGCAATGTCCACTTGACAAGACATTATATGGAAAACACTATATACTGTGCCGGAAACCTGTAGACAGCTTCACGTTGCATTAATTCGAAGATTTATTAAATATCCATATTAATTACTGTGATGTCGCCACGATGCTGAGCTGTAATTTTCAATCATATTTTATGTTTAAAAATCATATGACTTGACTCATACCGGAAGTTCGTATACAGTTAATTAATATTTTTGTCTGATAATCTACACAAACTCGTATCTTTTAAAATCATTTATTATTAAAAAAATAATTTTAAATAATATTTTTTAGGGAACTCAATGCTATAGTAATGTACCAACAAAATATGTAGAAAATCTGCAAATAATCATAAATTTTACAAATTGTCTATAAATATCATGCAGAATTTGTCAGGTAGATCCTTAATTTCATAAATTCCAATAATTCTATTAAAGTATTAAACCAATAAATCAGCGTAACCTAATGGAAAATTAATTGCTGAATACACGAAACGAAGATAATGAAAGAGGAATCAATAAATTTCTACCTGTTTCATGTCATAAAATTACGCAAACCAATTATATCTTACAAGCTATAGGCTAATGTCAAGTGATTTTCTTCAGGAAATTGCATCATACATCTGAATCCACTAGTGGCCAAGCGATCTTTGTACCCTGAACACTGGGAGTTCGGTCATGGGTTTGCGCCTCGCTCAGACGGGTTGGTCACGTGAAGTTTCCCAGGTTTTATCCACGTCTGTAACGCATAAATAGGGTCCAGTTTCCGTTAAAAAGACCTCCCCCTAGGTAGATCGCTCAAGTGTTGCGTTTCCACAACTTAACAAGCATCATACACGTAATGTCATATATTCTCGCCCTATTCAACTAAGATATAAGGTTCTAATTCGCAGCATCATCATAATGGATGAAATATGCATGAGTTGTCTGCTGAGACCTCTTTGGACTACAGCTCTAATCTATGGTTTAGAACCATTCTTAACTTGTAATTGCCAAGTTAGTAATTACTTCAATAGTAAACTCAAACATTACTACATTCAAATTATTGAGGCCATTTACTGGAATCATGTTGTAATTCTATTAGGGCAAATTATACCACAATGGAATAACAATGCAATTTGCACGGGATGGTTTGGTATAGTAAAAAACAATACCGTGATAATCAAAATGGCAGTGATGTGTTTACAATGTTTTTGCGCATTTATTTTCAGTTTCTTAAAACGCAGGAAAGTCAGTCTTGTAACAATGTTAAGAAACGAATACATTGTAAAGAAAGTAAACGAATCAAATGCCATAATCAATAACTTTAGCCTTTTAGTTTCTTCTGCCATAATTTTTGCATTCGTTTTCTTTCAAATTATAAATATTACCGTTTTCTTTCCTGCTGTAAAACAAGCAGAAAAATATCAGGGCGAAGCATTATTTTGTACTGTCGAATTTGGGTTAGACTTCGCTTTATTCGCTGGCTTAATTGGTTACGGTTTAGTAATGGCTGCATTCGTACTATGTCTAATTGAAATGGAATTCAAACAACTCTTGGAAGAATTTTCTGTAATAAGAAAAAATGATCGAAATGTATGTTCGAAGTTGCAATGTTTGATGATTCGTCACGAAGAACTCTGTGTAATCGTCGATCAATTAAACACCAGATTCAGTTATCTTTTAATGAGTATTTATGTTGCCATCATTTTCACCACAAGTTTTATTTACTATTCATTCTTATATCTCGATGTAAACGATACATTTCGTTTCGCATTGCTGGCAGCACTCGTCTTATTCGTTTTCGTCTCTATCATTACTTCCTTATTATTCTGCACCTTTGCATTCAATGTAATTATTCATTACTTATAAACTATTGACATAACCGATTGTCGACTTTAAATTGTTTTACTTTACAGATGCGAAATGCCTTTCAGGATATCCGACAATTTGCTATCTGCAATTTCTGTATGGAAGAAAAATTGAAAGCAAGTATTTTCTACTTTCGATTATAGAAGATTGAAATACATTAATAACATTAATAAAGCTCTGTGTTGTTTGTTTTTTCTGCAGATTCTAAATTTTATGAAAAGATTTGGGAAAGTTTCTTTGTGTCTGATTATTGGAGGAATTTATCCTGTGACAAAGCGAATTCCTTTCAAAGTTTGTATTTTTGAAAATAGAAATATTTTATAGATTTTATTATACATTAATTCTGTGTTTTTCAGGTTGCAAGTAATTTGAATTCATTTTTTTCGGCATTTATGAAACTTAGAGGTATCTCGAAGCAAGAAAGTAAATGTTCTAACGTAACAAAATGGCACTAATCTGGTAAAAGCTTGCATTCTGTAAATTTAATGTCCAATAAAACTCTGTCTGTATGAGAGAAAAATTAAGGTGAAAGCTTAGAAATTACATCGACATTCTAAAACTTGATATTATTGTTTGTGTATTATTATTACAATGAATAAATGTTTCTTTTATTTATGGTATTTTTTTCTTCAAATTATTTGCGTTCTTTTCATTGTAAAAAAGTTGGTCACCTTAAAGATGATGACCCAGAAGTGGATTTTCAATGTATAATGTATCACTATAATATAAACTCGGATAAGAATAACGCAATACAGTACATATAACTTTTGAATTTTCTAATGGCAGCTGTTATATATGTTAATTAATTAAGTAACGTCTCTTCAATCCGAAAAACACTTCCTCACAGCCAATTTAGGTTATAAAAAACTCCTTTTATTACATTTATACAGAGCTTTGTTTTTCCGATAAAGTCACTTCTGCCGGTTATTCCAATCGTACTGTGTAACGTAGGTAGGCCTCCACGGCCCTGATATGATGGCTTGGATTTGTAGCCAATAGATCGGGGTGAAATCACCAGCGGCTCTTTATATCACATTCCAAAATACATATTTATAGTAAAATGGTGAAGATAGCGAAATCAAATTGAGCACGGTAGCCTGTATATAAGGGGCATTGATGCTATGAGATTTTGGTTATGAAAAGTTAAGGGAATGGAGAGATAGTGTGTGGTCACGTGTCATATCTTGCCAAGGGTACGACTTAATGAAGATTTTACTTGTTGTTAGCATTTACAGTGTTTTATAAAACTCATCTCTAAAGTGAAAATAAGACTTTTTGCTTTTTTTATAATAATTAAAAATTATGAAAATTGTTAAACAAAATCTCGTAACAGATGGCGCCACATACAATTTTAGTTATTTATTTTGATTAATAATACAAATGTTACTTTTAAAATAAAATCTTGAAAGCCGGGAAAGTTACGCAACTCGTTGCTAAATTTTTTTTATTTAATAAAAGAAAGTAAACAAAATCTCGTAACAGATGGCGCCACATACAATTTTAGTTATTTATTTTGATTATTAATACAAATGTTACTTTTAAAATAAAATCTTAAAAGCCGGGAAAGTTACGCAACTCGTTGCTAAATTTTTTTATTTATTAAATGGCAGTGAAATAATTCGTTTTTTTTTCTTTTTTGCAATTGAAAAAAAAACTTTGAAAAGATTCAGAAGAAAATACAGTATTATCTAAAAACTTTAAATTTATAAATGTCTTTGAATTATTTCGCTTGAAAACGAGCCGTTTATTTTGAAAGTGGCCCAAGTCCATTTACGTTAAAATTGGTATATTTAAAGGTTCACGCTTCAAAACAGCGCAAGTCCCTTAAAAAATATATCCTTAAAATAAACAAAACAATACAATATATTGTGTTTATACATAGAACATATTCAGTTTTTATTCACTTTTAAAGANTTTTTCTGCAGATTCTAAATTTTATGAAAAGATTTGGGAAAGTTTCTTTGTGTCTGACTATTGGAGGAATTTATCCTGTGACAAAGCGAATTCCTTTCAAAGTTTGTATTTTTGAAAATAGAAATATTTTATAGATTTTATTATACATTAATTCTGTGTTTTTCAGGTTGCAAGTAATTTGAATTCATTTTTTTCGGCATTTATGAAACTTAGAGGTATCTCGAAGCAAGAAAGTAAATGTTCTAACGTAACAAAATGGCACTAATCTGGTAAAAGCTTGCATTCTGTAAATTTAATGTCCAATAAAACTCTGTCTGTATGAGAGAAAAATTAAGGTGAAAGCTTAGAAATTACATCGACATTCTAAAACTTGATATTATTGTTTGTGTATTATTATTACAATGAATAAATGTTTCTTTTATTTATGGTATTTTTTTCTTCAAATTATTTGCGTTCTTTTCATTGTAAAAAAGTTGGTCACCTTAAAGATGATGACCCAGAAGTGGATTTTCAATGTATAATGTATCACTATAATATAAACTCGGATAAGAATAACGCAATACAGTACATATAACTTTTGAATTTTCTAATGGCAGCTGTTATATATGTTAATTAATTAAGTAACGTCTCTTCAATCCGAAAAACACTTCCTCACAGCCAATTTAGGTTATAAAAAACTCCTTTTATTACATTTATACAGAGCTTTGTTTTTCCGATAAAGTCACTTCTGCCGGTTATTCCAATCGTACTGTGTAACGTAGGTAGGCCTCCACGGCCCTGATATGATGGCTTGGATTTGTAGCCAATAGATCGGGGTGAAATCACCAGCGGCTCTTTATATCACATTCCAAAATACATATTTATAGTAAAATGGTGAAGATAGCGAAATCAAATTGAGCACGGTAGCCTGTATATAAGGGGCATTGATGCTATGAGATTTTGGTTATGAAAAGTTAAGGGAATGGAGAGATAGTGTGTGGTCACGTGTCATATCTTGCCAAGGGTACGACTTAATGAAGATTTTACTTGTTGTTAGCATTTACAGTGTTTTATAAAACTCATCTCTAAAGTGAAAATAAGACTTTTTGCTTTTTTTATAATAATTAAAAATTATGAAAATTGTTAAACAAAATCTCGTAACAGATGGCGCCACATACAATTTTAGTTATTTATTTTGATTAATAATACAAATGTTACTTTTAAAATAAAATCTTAAAATCCGGGAAAGTTACACAACTCGTTGCTAGATTTTTTATTTATTAAAAGGAAGTGAAATAATTCGTTTTTTCTTTCTGCAATTGAAAGAATTCATTTATATGTCTACGAGAAATAAAAACTTTGAAGAGGTTCAGAAGAAAATATTACCCAAAAACTTTAAATTTATAAATGTCTTTGAATTATTTCGCTTTAAAACGAGCCGTTTATTTTGAAAGTGGCCGAAGCCGATTTACGTTTAAATCGGTATATTTAACGTTTCACGCTTCAAAAGAGCGCAAGTCCCTTGAAAAAATATATCCTTAAAATAAATAAAACAATACAATATACTGTGTTTATACATAGAAACATTCAGTTTTTATTCACTTTTAAAGAATGTTACAATCATATTATGTATTGTAATTTATAATTTATTCACTTTGCATGTGTGGGAGGGATTTAAAATAATCACGGTGTACAGATATCATATAATGTAATAAGTCCATTATATCTTTGTATTTAGGTGTTAAAAGTGGTTCTACATTTTCGTACAGTGGTGGCAATTCAATATTATTAAAGTTCTATAATATAATACGCTTTCTTGTCTTGCTCTATAATGGCCTATTTATTTATAGACTTTCCACACACTCATCAGACACAATACCAGCTTCAATATATCAATTTATTTTTAGTAGTAGGCATTTCGGACGATACTAAATTTTCTAAATTTTCAATTACGTTGAAACACAGTCAATTATTCCTATATTGAATTACGATTAATACTAGAAGAATAATGAAATTGCTACAATATTTAATGCCATCTAGTCATTTTTTTAGTGTCATATCATTAATATAATGGAACTAGAGATGAGATAGAGTTGTGTTATGTAACATTTACCAAGCTTACTTTTATATGAAAGTGCTCTCAAGTGGTTTCTTTATTTAACCGCAAAGGTAAATCTCATTTTCAAGCAGATATAATTATTCCATGTAATAAATCGAAATTATTTCAGGCTGATGCTTCATTTATATAATAATTGAATTTTAATAACATAAAATACTTTTTCCTGAATAATCTTCATAAACATTTACGATCAAAATTTATATATATATGTCGCAGTTGGATTGATAATTTAGCCGCTTTACAAAGCGATTAGCCGTTTCAGCAAACGGCTGGCTGCGTTTAGCCGTATTATAAAGCCGCAGATGTCTTAAGCTTTTTACTAAATTGTGAATTATTCACTAAGATTAGGGGAATATTGCTATTAAGTACTGTTAACACCTTCAAGCACTCCTCTTTCAATTTGTGTATTATGATCGCATTTGCATATAAAATATTTGTCCATACCCTTCATCGCTTTCAGACAGTCCTCAAATAGCATGAAGAAGTTTAACCCAGGAACTACACTAATTAGCTCCACTGGTTTTATTTTGAAACTTTGGACAAATTACATCAGATGAAAACTTTTCATTATTTTCTGTGGTTATATTCACTTATCAAATTAATAGAACTGTGCCATGTCCATCGTGAAATATTATGTTAAATGTTTTCTACGTACATTACAACTTTTTTTTATCATGGTTGGTTTTCTATATCCTCCTCGGTTTCAATATATAAAAGAATACTATCAAAAACACGAGAACTTTGTAAACCAGTTTTAGGCTCACTACAAAATAAGGTAATCTCTCAACGACTTAATGACACGATGCATTTTTTTTTATATTGCAAATATAGTATCCAATACTAGACGATACCACATTGGTGAATGTCTCTCGGCAACTCAAGTGGTAAGAATCGAAATTAAATATGACAATCAGGCGGTTTATCACTGCAAAGCAGCTAATCGTTTGGCCTGGAATCTCATTCAATCCGGCGGAATTTGGTTTAGGTCTTTGCAAAGTGGCTGAATATTAGTGAGCTTTATTATAAAACTGCACCGTTTAATCAAACGGCTAGATGCTTTGACTATACTACGATATATACACTAATGGAGAAAATATATTCAAGAAGTTGTTTTTATTACACCCAATTTATTGTATGTGTAAAACTATCGGGATGATGCAAAAGTTTTTCTGGAAATTTCTAGACTTCACTAGAATATTCAAAATTATTTTTTCGACGGATGGCATCTACAAGTTTTTAGTGCAATATGTAAATGTGGATGTTGAGGTGAACAATCATAAGTAAAAAAGTATTGTGTGTGCCAAAATCAGAAATGCACCGGTGCAAGTTATGCTGTGTACTGGTAGAATGTCTGCAGACCAGTCCATTGAAGAATGATTCCATGAACTATCACTGTAACGTCAAACGTTTTGTGCACTCAGCTGCAAAGCTTGGCTAATGCCACGCACACTAAACGACCACAGATGAATATTATGCGCATTCTTCGTGACAACACAAGACCATACGAGTCAAGTTTGACCCGGTAGAAGCTGCTTTTTCTCTGCTGGGAGGTTTTCCTTACCCCCATTACACCATGTGACTACCATTTCTTCTGCTTACTGCAACACTCCATGGATGGAAAGTAATTCGCTGACGGTCAGAACATGCAATGATTTCTACACTAATAATCAAAATTTAATTGCACGAAGGAGAATCAATATCATTCCGAACTCACATAAAATTGAACTTTTTATAACAATGTTCAGTGTTAATGATGTACAGTCGACCCCCTATAAGATATAGATACGTTCCAATTTATTAGGAATCCGATTTCTTACAAGTCGTTCCAATCACAGCCCGACACGTGTCAAGTTTACGGACTACGGCTGATTGAAAGGTTTTCTTCCATAAAATTAATCGATTCTACACTAATCCGACTCAACATTTCCAAAATACGTATATTTGTTCGTAGTTTTATAGGAATCGTAATTATAGGGACCGTAATTATAGGGGGATCGACTGTATATCGGAGACAAATTTTTAACAGGTTATTTTATTGACGAAGAATGTCGAGCCATTGAATTATCTTATAAAAACATTCAGAAATGTTAATAAAAAATGAATGGTGCAGAACAATGTTTCTGCTGAAAACTTCTGCAAACTTTACGACATATGATTGAAATATATTTAAAAAACGAAAAAAAGTTTGACATTATGAGACTTATTTCGTGTATTTTTTAAGAATATGTTCATTTTGCAGTTGTTTTTTTTTTGTTTTCTACAAAATAAACATAATACACGCTCCACGTAAACACACAATCATCTACTTCATAGTACTAACTGTCCATCTATCTTCATGTGGAAAGTGAAAACGTTTACAAGACTAATGCCATTTTGTTCGATTGGAACAGTTGACTTCCTGTTTCGAAATACCTCTGAGTTTCACCAGTGTCGAAAAGTATGAATGTAAACTACTTGCAACCTGTGAAAATAAAATTAAATTAAAAAATGTATATAAGTGTAGAAATATTTTCACAGAATAAAAATCTTAGATCGCATGTAATTCTTAAAGCATTCAAAATATGCAATACGTTTTGTTGATAAATGATTACCACAACACAAGATTAACATGTAGTGTCGAATCAGGTTTTACCGTAATATAGACTTTCCACGTTCAGTAATATGTATAAATTAGTATAAAAATATACAAACTTTGAAAGGAATTCTCTTCGTGACAAGATAAATTCCTCCAATCTTCAGGCACAAAGAAACTTTTCCAAATCTTTTCATAAAATTTAAAATCTGCAGAAAAAATAACACATAGCTTTATTTGAATCTTCTATTATCAAAACTATAAAATACTTACTTTCAATTTTTCTTTCAGACGTAAACTGTAAATGGCAAATCGTCGGATATCCTGAAAGGCATTTTGCATCTGTAAAATAAAACAATTTAATATCGACAATCCAATATGTAAATCATTTATAAACAATGAATATTTACATTGAATGCAAAACTGCACAATAAGCACGAAGTGATGATACAAATGAAGACGAATAAGACGAGTGCTGCCAGCAATGCGAAACGAAATGTATCGTTTACGTCAAGGAATAAGAATGCGTAGTAAATAGAACTTGTTGCAAAAGTGACGGCAAAATAAATACTCATACCGAGGTAACTTAATCTGGTATTGAACTGATCGACGATTATGTACAGTTCTTCGTGACGAATCATCAAACTCTGCAACTTCAAATAGACATTTCGATCATTCCTTTTTAGTACAGAAAATTC